TTGCAGGAAACACCTCACGAGCAAGAGTTTGTGGAATATTTACACATGTAGGGCATCCCACAGATATGCATCCTATGCTCCAAGAGGATGACCAATAACGCATCAACGCAGTAGGAGGATTCCTAAATCAGTCACAGAGGAGATACAACCCATTCTCCAACACGTACAATAAAACTTTAAACAATATCAGCCAAGGTTATCCTAGCAGCAACAATTGTCACCTCCAAAGTAAGGTATTTCTCTTGAGGAAATAGTTAAATCCCTTATCACTAACACCCAAAAATTTTAACAGGAGACAAGGGCTAGCATCCAAAATTTAAAAATTCAAATAGGCTAACTGGTGACATCCATGAGCAAACTAGAATCCTAAGGTAAATTACACTACCAGACATAAGTAAATTCAAGCCCCAACATAAGTACAGTTACACTATAGAGTGGTAGAGAACTGTAGAAAAATCCTCATCGTGTAAGCCTTGGGTAAGGCGTATAAAAGGGTGCAAAGCCAAAAACCTTGGGCAAGGCATCGGAAGTTATAGTTGATGGCAATACCCACCAAACAAAATTGGACTTTGACCAACTAGCACCATTTACAGCCACTCTGCCCTTCCCAGAAAGGTTTGCTAAATTAAAGAAAGAGGAGGATAAAGAAATTCTAAAAACCTTCATCCATGTCGAGGTAAATATTCCCTTACTTGATGCGATCAAATATATACCTTGATATGTCAAGTTTCAGAAGGAATTATTCACCAACAAGAGAAAATTGAGTTATAATGAAAAGGTAAGTGTGAGGAAGAATGTCTCGGTCATTATATAAAGGAAATTACCTCCCAAGTGCAAAGACCAAGGTATGTTTGCTATCTCTTACAAAATAGGTACATTAGACATAAGAAAGGCCATGTGTGATCTAAGGGCTTCCATAAACATAATGTCGTTGTCCATCTACTATAAGTTGAACACTAGGCCATTGAAGGAGACTGATGTCATCATCCAGCTAGCCGACAGGTAAGTTGTTTACCTTAAGGGGGTTTTAAAAAATGTATTGGTTCAGGTAGACAACCTTATTTTTTTAATTGATTTTTATATGCTAGATATGGTGGATGAAGAATCCTCGAACTCATGAGATCTTTTGTTAGGTAGACCTTTCATTAGCACTATCAAGACCAAAATACACGTACAGGATGGTACCTTCACCATAGAATTTGATGAAGATGTAGTGAGATTAATGTTATGATGCCATAAAGTACCTTACTAATTTATCTTATGTATACGGTGCAGACGTCATAGATTTTTTAAATAAAAAATATCTCGATTTCTGCCTTGGCCATGAGTTGAATATTATACTTTGTAATCGTTTAAATGTTGATAACTTAGGGGCTCTGGAGGAAGATTATGTTACTACTAAGAATCTGCATGAGGCTAATTAAGAGCACTTAAATAGAAAAAAAGGTAATGCCCCGAACATTAGTATTCTTGTTTCTCACACGAAAGTTCCACCTACTATTTTGTAGGCACCCAAGCTGGAGCTAAAGTCACACCCAGACACTTAAAGTACATGTTTTTGGGAGAAGGAGAAACGTTTCCGATAATAATATCTAATAAGTTGAGCAAGACGGAAGAAGGAAGACTAATTAGAGTGCTATAAAAATACAAGGAAGCAGTTGGGTGGTCTATTGTTGACTTTAAAAGGATATCACCTTCTATATGAATGCATAGGATACTGCTAGAGGAAGACAGCAAACCCAGCAGGCAGGCACAGAGACACTTGAACCCACCTATGATAGAAGTTGTAAAGAAAGAAGTCTTGAAGCTACTTAACACTAGAGTTATTTACTCGATTTTAGATAGTAAATAGGTAAGCTCAATACAAGTGGTGCCAAATAAAATGAGGATAATAATGGTAGAAAACTAGGATGGTGAGAAGGAATCAACCAAGGTATAGAATGGTTGGAGGGTCTGCATAGATTACCGGAAGCTAAATGCTTCCACCAGAAAGGACCACTTTCCCCTCACTTTCATCGATTAGATGTTGGAAAGGTTGCTCGGACAAACACATCATTGTTACCTAGATGGTTATTTAGGTTTCTACTAGATCTTAATTGCACCTATAGATCAAAAGAAGACCACTTTCATATGCCCTTTTGGCACTTTTGCTTACAGGAGAATGCTTTTTAGACTCTGTAATACCCTGACTATGTTTAGAGGTGCATGGTCAGCATCTTTTTCTATTTTCTGAACCATATAATAGAAGTCTTCATGGATGATTTTTACAATTTACAGAGACTCTTTTAATTAATGCCTCGTTGATCTCACAAAAGGTACTAAAACGATGTCTCAAGTTTAACTTTGTCTTAAACTTAAAAAATGTCATTTCATGGTTGATCAAGGGTTGACCTTGGGACATATGGTGTCTTTAAGGGGAATAGAGGTGGATAAGGCAAAGAGTGACGTGATTAAATCCCTACCTTACCCCACGAGTGTGTGAGGAGTGTTGTCCTTCCTTGGGCATGCAGTGTTCTATAGCATTTCATCAAGAACTTCTCCAAAATCACCCTCTATGACGACTATTGCAAAAAGTAGTATTTGAATTTGATGCATCTTACAGGGAAGTGTTTGATGTGCTTAAGGAGAAGCTAGTGTCAGCACATATCATGCAACTACTGAACTGGGAGCTACTATTTGAGATAATGTGTGATGCTAACAATGTGCAGTCCTTAGGCAAATGATAGGCAGAGACCTACATGTGATCTATTATGCCTCAAGGATGCTCAACAATGCTCAGCTCAATTACTCAACCACAAAAAATGAGCTATTGGATATCGTGTTCGCCTTAGAGAAATTTCGCTCCTACTTGCTGGGCACTAAAGTCATTGTGTTCTCGGACCATGCAGCATTGAAGTACCTACTTGAAAAGAATGAAGCAAAACTGAGACTAATTCGGTGGATATACCTATTATAGGAATTTGATATAGAAATACGAGATAAAAAGGACATGGAGCATCTAGTTGTTAATCATCTCAGTTGACTACCATTAAATGAAGAACCTTTACCATTGAAGGATGAATTCTTGAATGAACATTTTTTCTCAATTTGACAATCAACGCTGATATTGTCAATTATTTAGTCATCAATACACTACCAAGTGATCTATCCAGAGTGCAGAGGGATAAGATCAAGAAAGAAGTTAGACAGTAAGTGTGGAATGATCCTTATTTATGGAAATACTGTGCAGATCAAATCATTTGTCGATGCATCCCTGAAGTAGAAGTTCCTTCCATTCTAAAATTTTGTCACTCTCATGCTTACGGAGTACATTTCGGCCCTAAACGGACAAGTGCAAGGCATGGGAATGTGGCTTGTTTTTGCCTTCATTGTTCTATGATGTGTTTATCTATCATAAAACTTGAAAAAATTACCAACGAACAGGAAACTTAGGACATAGGGATCAAATGCCACTGATTCCCATCTTAGTTTGTGAAATCTCTAATGTATGGAGGATAGATTTTATGGGACCATTCCCATCCTCTTTCAGCAACTCCTACATTTTGCTTGTAGTAAACTACATTTCTAAGTGGGTGGAAGCTAAGGCCACTAGAACTAGCAATGCTAAGACTATCATTAACTTCATCAAAACTCATATCTTCGCCAGGTTCAGGGTGCCTTGTGCGATGATAAGTAACCGGGGAACACATTTTTACAATCAGGTTGTAGAATTCCTCTTCAAGAAGTATAATATCACCCACTGCAGCTCCACTGCATACCATTAGATAAGTAGAAGTTTCCAATAGAGAATTAAAGTTGTCTTAGAAAAAACAGTCAATCCCAACAGGAAGGATTGGAGCTGCAGCTAGATGATGTTTTATTGGCCTACAGGACAACTTTCAAGACCCCCATCGGGATGTCACCCTATCGTCTAGTCTTTGGCAAGGCTTGCTATCTTTCCGTTGAGTTGGAACCTAGAGCCTATTGGGAAATTAAGAGTTGCAACATAAAGCTAGAAGAATCTGGGGAACACAGGAAGCTGCAGCTACAACAACAGGAGGAGATAAGAAACGATGCTTACGAGAACTCAAGAATCTATAAGGAAAAAACAAAGTCTTTCCGTGATAGGATGACCTCCACAAGACAATTCTCTATAGGGCATAAGGTCTTACTTTATGACTCTTGCCTAAATCTGTTCCCTGAAAAGTTACACTCAAGGTGGTTAGGTCCATTCATTATCACCAACACATTCCTTCACGGTGTAGTCGAGATTGAGAACCTAAACATGCACAAAATTTTCAAAGTAAATGAGCACTGTCCTAAGCCCGTCTACCAAGAATTCATTGCATAATAGGTTGAAGAACTCACCTTGGATATCCCTAAAGACAACAACTAACAGAGACATGCAATGTGTAGCCTAGGAAAGTAAACAAGGGCGTTTAATGGGAGGTAACCCATTTGGTTTTTGTTTTGTTCTTAAAAATTTTAATTACCTTTGTTGTTAATAAATAGATCTAATTGTTCTAACCAAAATTTGTTTTCCCTCATTTGTAGATCATTGAAGGAAAGACACTGCACAAAACCACTGGGTTTTCCGGCTAAGAGGACGCATAAGCCTTGTCCAAGGCTTATACTGACCATTCAAGCCTTGTCCAAGGGTTAGCATGTGCCTTTCCCAAGGGTCAGTTGCATCCTTTGTTAAAATATTAGCATCAGCCTTGGATAAGGCTTTTGTCACGGTGGCACCTAAGGCCAAGTTTGGGAATATTCACATAAGTCTTGCCCAAGGTTTATGTTGCAGCTACATCTGGGGTTGATTTTAAATATTTATACAAGACTTGCCCAAGACTTATACTAAGACTCTAGCAGTTTAAAAAAAAAAACTATCTTGAGATGTTCGCACAAGCCTGGACCTAGGCTCGTGACATTTAGCGCCCATTTCAGTTTAATTTTTGTTTCACCCTAACCTTTTTTTTAGCGGGATACTCACTTCTCCTCCCCACTCTCTCACCGAACCAAAATCCCTTTTTCCTTTACCCTAATATAAACTTCCTTCTCTACCTCCGAATCCCACCTAACACCTATTTTTAACAAACCCCCAGCTCAACGAAAATAAGGCAAAAGGAATCTGCTAAGAAACCCAGCGAACTCATACCCAAATGACGACTTGCTGATGGGATGACACCGCAAAAACAATTACCTTCTATAGCACCCAAACCACAGGTCGCACAAGGGGAACATGCTCCATCCCACGATGCAAGCACCTCTGTGACGACTAATCAACAATGTCACAGCACTGTAATCAATGTTTTTTACTCCCCAATAAGAGGACCCAACACTCAAAAAGTCGAACCAAGCTAAGCAAACAAACAACCCGATCGACAACAATCTATAGCAGAAGAGCCCACTGGTGAAGATGCAGAACTTGAGAAAACTCAAAAGCGGGCATGGGTCAAGAAGGGCAAACATGTTCTCGCACCTTCTGAATCCAAACTGTGCAGCCACCTCACCTTCCAAGATGATTTAGAAAATGAAAGGTATGGAGAAATCTGTAAACTTCCCATTGTGCGTAGTAAGTGTGTTCACCACCTTACTTTAGACACCCTAAAAATTAGAACTAGTGTCATGAAACTGATTTATGCCATCAACTAGGCAAACTATTTTAAAGTTAATGTACCAACATATGTGGAATTAGTCGAAAAAGTTTACACAACCTTTCAATTTCATAAACCCACTACTTTTAATCTTAAAACACCCAATATAATTTCCTTCTATTTGATGGGCAAATGCTTTAACTTCTCAATTTCCCAGTTTAATGACGCTTTAGGTTTTTTTGAAAGAGAAAGTGAACACTCATATTGTGATTTCTATGATTTTCATCCTATCACTGTGTATTCTGGATTTTGCGACAACTCGCCAGATACATATGGCCCTAGTACATCTAAAGGATCCATATTTGCGCCATCCATACATGAAATATATTCATAGGTTCTTGATTAATTCTTTTTCAGGCCAAAATGATGCACCAAACATCTTGTCAAAAATTGAGTTGTACTTTCTGTGGTGAATGGTCCATAAGAGAAGGGTGAACCTGGGTTTTTTGTTTGCATTGTAGTTCTTCAATGTTATTTCTTTCAAAATATCTCTAATTCAAGGTTCGATCATAACCAGACTTGCCCTCTTCACCACTGACTTTGATATTGAGGAAACTGACCTGCACATTGCTTGCCCACAAACGCCTTTAAATTTAGGTTCATTAGATGACATGGGTTGTTGCACCTTAAGGACGTTGAACCATGCTCTACCCCTCCAGGACCACCCGTGTCTAGAAACATGAGAGTCTACAGCAAAAAAAAAGACCATACAGAACCCGCTGCCACAAACTCTATACCTACCGACATCTAGCAATTTGTGGAATTCATGTTACTGCATGTTCGAATGATTGACGGACACTTACATAGTCTCAAGCAGCTAATCCACCAGTTAGCATACAAAGTTGAGGTGTTGGCCTAGTCCCTACCCTAATTAGCAAAGGTCGACCCTCCGCTCCGAACCAGATGATGCCTTTAGTGTGTCCCACCTCCGAGCCACAACACTAGGGGAGTTCCTTCGTCCTTTCTCTTTTATTTTATTTTTTTATTCATTTTTTTTTTGCACCACATTGGGGACGATGTGTAGTTTAAGTTCGGGAGAGGGATTTATTACATTTTTAAGTTTTCACCTTGATTTTTGTTATAACATCTCTACTATACTCAAAATTTTCAGGACACCCATTGACACACATTTTTAGCCTTGCCCATGGCATACATAGGTACACTTTCAACATGTTTTTGATCCCATCTTCTTCACCACTGTATTAGTTATTCCCAAAATAACTCAATTGTGATGTTTTAAGAATTAAATACATTCACGGTAACCTTCTAGGATTTCTAGCTTGTTTTTTCAACTTTCCACATCATAAATGACTATCTTTAATAATATGTCTTGACATAACTTATTTTTTCATCTTTTCACACCATAAATGACTATCTTTGATAATATGTCTTAACATAACTTGTTTAGGAATTGCACTTATTTAGCGATTACACTTAACTGATTTTCTCTTATCTTGAAGTGAATGTCAGTACCTAGAGAAACTACACAACTACTTTTCTAGATTTATGTTTAAAAAGCATAGGGTTCATGTTAAAAAAAAAAAAAAAGAGAAGGAATAACACTACTAATAATCTATTCCTCTAGCCAATTTAGTAATGCTAGTAGCCACATGAAAATATGACCAACTGAGTAACCGGTTATATTCATCATAAATATTTGTCCTCGCATCAAAAGGTTGGTGACATTTCAAGTAAGTAAAAGAGCGCTCAAGAGCTAATCCAAATAAATTTTTTGTTCTAACATGAACCCATTTGCATGAAACTTTTATGCCCGGATAGGTTTGGTGTGGATGTGTACTAAACGTTGGCTATTCTCCTCAAGATAAAAATATGTTTAAAAACCTGCAAAACCTTTTTATTTTATGTTAGGTTACTATTTAGAGTAATTGTTCATTGGTGTGATTTCATGAAACTCAAAAGTCAAACTACTAGTTGATAATTGTTTTTGTAATTCGAGGATTGAAATATAATATATGAGTTTTGAGGGGATGGTTGGGGATAGTTCGGGTTGAGGGTGAAATGTTGAGAACTATTGAACGGTATTATGGAGTGCTTGAGGGCAAGCATAAGATAAGTGAGGGGGAATTTAAAAATATGTATAAACAACATCTTTGTTACTTACTTTGAATGTGTAATTAAGCTGTTTATTACTTAGTATAGATGGTTTTGTCTATTTTGGTGCAAGTCAAAGCGATAAAACTCAAATCTAAAAAACTAGCCCAAAAGAAGTAGCTTTTATGTAAAAGCAGTCAGCAGTTCTAGTATAAGGCTTGGGCAACGCTTATACCTTAGCATGGCAATAGGTCTCAGCTCATAAGCCTCAGGCAATGCTTGCATTCTTGTGACAATAGAAAGCACCAATCCATGCATTGATAAACCTTGGGCAAAGCTAAATCCTTGATAGCCATAGGAAGTACTAGCTGGCACAAGGATAAGCCTTGGCCAAGGCTTAGACTCTGGTAGAAATAGATTTGATAGCCTAGTGTGCTTTCAAATTTAAAAAGAAGATCCCATTACAACCTGAATGCAGGAAATCAGAATAAAGGAAGAGATAATTTTGGAAAGTAGGAAGAAAGCCAAAATCTCCATGAAAACCCTATCTTCATAAAGGCATGCCTTGATCCTCTCGCCTTTAACTAAAAAAGGAAACAAAGAATAACGAACGTTGTCGAGGACAACATCATGCCTTTATTTTATAAATCATTCTTTCTTTCTGTTAACATTAAAAAAACAATCTTCTATGTATTTAGCTCATCATGAGCAGCTAATTAAACATCTTTTCTAGTTAAAGATTTAATCGAAGCTCTAGTTTTGGATTGTGAGACCTAATTATTTTACTTATCTTCTTATTTAAGCTTAAATATTTGTATATATCTCTGTACATATTATTATTGTTGTCTGTTAAACATTAAAAAGCGCCCGTTAGGCATGCGACACAGCGGCATATTGCCATTCAAAAACTCCCAAATCCGTAATTGTTTCGGTTATTTCAATGCTTAGTTGCGAATTAGTTTTCATACTAAGGGAATATGTAATCTAGTTTGAATGGGTCATGGAGTTGAATCCATTAACTTGAATCAAGTCCTTCTACCTCTCAAGGCTGTTGGTATTTTAAATTCTATGATCGTTTTCAGGATTATTTATTAACAAGAATTAACTAATGAACATTTCTTAGTTGATTGAGAATTAAGGAAGAATTAGCTATGGGAACGCTTCCGACAATTAGAACTGGTTTACTGAAGTTTAGAAGAATCAATCATTGCGTTAATGTCAATCTAATAACTTGAACCTAACTACTTCTTTAACTAGAATCAACTCATATCTACGTATCACTTTAATTATTTTTTGACAGTACTTTCTGTTTTTTGTTTAAGTCTAATCGATTAATTTACTTCACTACATTGATTTGGAACAAAAAAACCTCCCTAGCTTTACTTTTTATTCAATGGCCATAGAAGAAAAGTGGTTGTCAGTTCTCTAAAGATTCGACCCTATTCACCACTATTACAAATTCAGTTTGTTAATATAATAAGAAATTATTTTTCGTGGATTCGATACCCATCACTTGGATTTGGTATTCAAAAATCAGAAACCATAATGAATGGTGTCGTCAGGAACAAAAAACAAACTTTAATGAAAACTAATAAGAATGTCCAACATGAGAAATTGGGCAAGTGTTGGAAACAAATTTGGGGTAAAATGGAAATAATAGAATAAACTTGAGAAATGTAGTTCTAGAAACATAATTTTAGAAAAATATTTGTAACAAAGGTGATTAGGGGAAATGAAAAAGAAAATTGGTTATATGATATTTACCTAAAGATCTACATAAATCAACAAGCGAAATTTTGGGTAGATTTCATAGAAGTTAATTAGAATTTATAATTATAGTTCAAGTGAGTAGTTTGCTAAACCTAAGATTAAAATTTAAACATAGTTGCAGAGCAAAGCAAAGCAAAAAACACACTTAGGAAATAGGAGTTCAAAAATAATAATGGCAAGAAAGGAATAAGAAATTAAAGGAAGTTAGAAATATATGCCTATATACACGTACGAGCTTAAATAAAGTAATTAAGTATGCAAAAGATTCATTTGATATTCCGTAGATAAGAACATTAAGAGAAGTCACCTAAGGGATTTAAATTAGTTTTTTTTAACTAGCTAAGGGAAGAGTCATGTTAAGTGGTCATATTGGCCATGTACTGCTATGGCAAGTGTTATTGTCCTATACTGTGATAAGTGTTCAATTGTTACCGTAACTATGTACATACATCCATGTTCTAGTGGATCCTTATTGCTCTTCATTGTAGTGATTAAAGCGACATCATATGATGAAATCTCAGTGACTAAGTTTTAAGGTGAATATTATAACTGTTAGTTGTGATAGTTAAAGTGAATACCGCACTATTAAATGTGATTATTAAAGTGAACACTATATTATAAATTATGACTGTTAAAGTGAATACCGTACTGTTTACTGTAACTATTAAAGTGAATACTGTATTAATTGTAACTGGAAAAGTGAAAAATTGTGACTGTTAACTCCAACTGTGAAAATGTAACTGATAAAGTGTTAATATATAGGTGTTAGAATGTAAATATTGTAGTTGTCGAAGTGTAAGTGTTAAAGTGTAAAGTGTAAATGCCAAAGTCTAAAGAGTTAGTGTAAAAGTGTAATATATAAGTGTTAAAATGTTTTAAGTGTTAAATATATCATGTTAAGTGTAAAGTGTTGGAATATAAAATGTATAGAGACTAGTGATAAGTGTGAACATTCCATGTGATAAACATTAGTGGTATCTGGAAGTCATAGTTCCTCCAAATATGAGAAAACAATGAGAAAATATACAAAATGCACAAAACCAATTTAAGGAATGAAATGG